GCGGCCACTGCACTCCAGTCTGGACGACAGAGTGAGACTCCAACTCAAAAAAAAAATAAATAAATAAAAAAAATAAATAAATTTAAGGCTATTTCATCTGTAAAAGGTATCCGGATATGGAAGGAAAACATATATATATTTTTTTCTTTTTTTTAGTTGTCTCATTCTCACCCAGGCTGGAGTGTAGTGGCATGTTCACAACCATTGCAGCCTCGGCCTGCTGGGCTCAGGTGGTCTTTCCACCTCAGCCTTCCAAGTAGCTGGAACTACAAGGCACACACTACCACGCCTGGCTAATTTTTAAATTTATTTTAGAGATGAGGCCTCGCCATGTTGCTCATGCTGGTCTTGAACCCCTGAGTCAGGCATTCCTCTCACCTTCACCTCCGAAAGTGCTGTATTATAGGCGTGAGCTACCACACCTGGCAATGTTGTCCATCTTACCTGGCATTTAGGATGTGCTTAGCGTTTGGGAAATGAATTAATGAATAGCTAAACTTCCCGTTGGAGCCTGCCTGGCAAAGGAAGCCATCAGAATGAGGCTCAGCGGCCCCTACCCGAGACAACTTCAGCCAGCCCTCGCTGTGGTGGCAGAACTAGAACAGATGGCTTCTAAAAGGCCCTGCTGCGTCAAGGATTCAGTGCACTTCTCACTTTTAAATGTCATGAAAAAGTTAGGTTTGGGGAAAACATCACCAATTTGGAAATGCAGCCGGTCACTCAAGACTTGGGAATCCTCTCTCACTAGAGATGCCTGCTTTCCTTGTTCAGATGCTGTCACTCATCTAAGGTGACCCCCTCCTCTTCACCTGCTGCTGCTGTTAGGGGTTCCAGCCCTGCTGCAGGATTGGCTGTAAAGCCTTCTCTTGTGTCTTATTGTGCAGGTACTGTGTGGTTTTACTGACTGCCGAGGCCACCAAGTTGAGCAAGCCCTTTGAAGTGTTCCTGTCCTTTGCCCTGGCAAACACACAAGACACGGTGAGATTTGTGCATGTCTACAGTGACCGGCAGCAGGCTTTTGCCAGCACCCTCCTACCAGACGGCGAGGCGTTCCGAGGGAAGGCAGCGGTGAGCCCCAGTCTCCTGATCCTGCTGCTTCACAAGCACAGGGCGCTGGATTGTTTCTTCCTTCTTCCTTCCTCGAGAGTGTTGAGTACAGATTCCAGGAGATCTGGAAAACTTTGAAGCCTGTGTAGAATACCTACTTTTTTTTGCAGGGGACGATGGGGTCTCATTATGTTTCCCAGGCTGGACTCAAACTCCTGGCCTCAAGTGATCCTCTTGCCTCAGCCTCCTGAGTAACTGGGACTACAGACACATGCCACCACACCCAGCTTGAAAGTTAAAACAGTCTTTCACTTGGTTGTTTCATACTGTAGATTTCAACATCAAGCTTGCACAGAACGCATCTTTCCTGTCAGTAAACATCTTGCAGGATCCAAGATCCTGGGTTTTATGGATCTTCTTTGGGCCACCAGTAGTATGCTTTGGAAATGTCCCCTTCCTGCCCCTCTTTCACTTTGTCCTGATTAGCCTCCTCCTTCTGTCTCTTTCTTTGTCATCATTCCCTACAGAAGCTTAAAATTCTTCTGCTCTTTCTAATTTTGATAATTATGGAGAATCTCTCTAAAAAACAAAGGTTTCCTCTATTATAATAGTAAATCAGAGGTTAAAGAACAAAGTCAGCCGTGCTTGGTGGCTCAGCCTGTAATCCCGCACATCTGGGAGGCTGAGGTGAGTGGATTGCCTGAGCTCGCAGGTTCAAGACCCACCTGGGCAACTTGGCGAGACCTCATCTCTACAATAAATCAAAAATTAGCCGGGCGTGGTAGCATGCGCCTGTAGTTCCAGCTACTTGGAAGGCTGAGGTGGAAGGATCGCCGGAGCCCAGCAGGTCAAGGCTGCGGTGGCCGGGAGCGGCTACTGCACTCCAGTCTGGGCGACAGAGTGAGACTCCAACTCAAAAAAAGAGAACAAAGTCTATTGAGAAAAAAAGAGCTTTACCTTTTAACAAAAGCTTTGGAAGTCACCATAAAAACAACTTCTGGCCGTGTGCAGTTGCTCAGCCTGTAATCCTAGCACTTTGGGAGGCCAAGGTGAGGGAATTGCCTGAGCCCGGGGGTTCAAGACCAGCCTGGACAACTTGGTGAGACCTCATCCCTACAGTGAATCACAAAAACTAGTTGGGTGTGGTGGCATGCGCCTGTAGTTCCAGCTACTTGGAAGGCTGAGGTGGAAGGATCGCCGGAGCCCAGCAGGTCAAGGCTGCGGTGGCCGGGAGCGGCTACTGCACTCCAGTCTGGGCGACAGAGTGAGACTCCAACTCAAAAAAAGAGAACAAAGTCTATTGAGAAAAAAAGAGCTTTACCTTTTAACAAAAGCTTTGGAAGTCACCATAAAAACAACTTCTGGCCGTGTGCAGTTGCTCAGCCTGTAATCCTAGCACTTTGGGAGGCCAAGGTGAGGGAATTGCCTGAGCCCGGGGGTTCAAGACCAGCCTGGACAACTTGGTGAGACCTCATCCCTACAGTGAATCACAAAAACTAGTTGGGTGTGGTGGCATGCGCCTGTAGTTCCAGCTACTTGGAAGGCTGAGGTGGAAGGATCGCCGGAGCCCAGCAGGTCAAGGCTGCGGTGGCCGGGAGCGGCTACTGCACTCCAGTCTGGGCGACAGAGTGAGACTCCAACTCAAAAAAAGAGAACAAAGTCTATTGAGAAAAAAAGAGCTTTACCTTTTAACAAAAGCTTTGGAAGTCACCATAAAAACAACTTCTGGCCGTGTGCAGTTGCTCAGCCTGTAATCCTAGCACTTTGGGAGGCCAAGGTGAGGGAATTGCCTGAGCCCGGGGGTTCAAGACCAGCCTGGACAACTTGGTGAGACCTCATCCCTACAGTGAATCACAAAAACTAGTTGGGTGTGGTGGCATGCGCCTGTAGTTCCAGCTACTTGGAAGGCTGAGGTGGAAGGATCGCCGGAGCCCAGCAGGTCAAGGCTGCGGTGGCCGGGAGCGGCTACTGCACTCCAGTCTGGGCGACAGAGTGAGACTCCAACTCAAAAAAAGAGAACAAAGTCTATTGAGAAAAAAAGAGCTTTACCTTTTAACAAAAGCTTTGGAAGTCACCATAAAAACAACTTCTGGCCGTGTGCAGTTGCTCAGCCTGTAATCCTAGCACTTTGGGAGGCCAAGGTGAGGGAATTGCCTGAGCCCGGGGGTTCAAGACCAGCCTGGACAACTTGGTGAGACCTCATCCCTACAGTGAATCACAAAAACTAGTTGGGTGTGGTGGCATGCGCCTGTAGTTCCAGCTACTTGGAAGGCTGAGGCGGAAGGATCACCTAAGCCCAGCAGATCGAGGCTGCAGTGGCCATGAGCGTGCCACTGCACTCCAACCTGGGTGACAAAAATGAGACTCCAACTCAAAAAAAAAAAAAATCTTATTTTGTCAGAAAGATTTAAATCCCTTGCAGGTATTTTAGTATTTGTGTTTGAACTTATTGCTGGCTTCATGGGACCCTTTTTTCCATCCTCCCTGAAAACAAACAGCAGTAACTTACCATGCCTTTGAAATTTATGATGGTTTTTTCCCCTTTTTTCCCAGGTGTCTATTTTAGAAAGGCGCAACACAGCAGGAAGAGTGGTGTACAAAACCCTGGAAGATCCCTGGACTGGAAGTGAGAGTGACAAATTCATCCTCTTGGGTTACCTCGACCAGTTGCGGAAAGACCCAGCCCTTCTGTCCTCTGAGGCAGTGCTTCCCGACCTGACTGATGAGCTTGCTCCGGTGAGCATCATGACTGGGAAGGACGGACTGCCGGGGAGCCTGGGGTGGCTTTCTGCCAAGAACAAGGGGTCAATAGCAGCGCTGTTTTGAGGTGGGGACTTCCTCTGGCGTTCAGTCCTGACTGTCCCTTTTCTCTCAACAGCTGTTTCTCCTTCGGTGGCTCTACACTGCCTCTGACTACATCTCAGACTGCTGGGAGAGCATATTTCGCAACAACTGGTAGGGACGTTGTGAGCATATTTCGCAACAACTGGTAGGGACGTTTTGTTTTCTCTGTCAATGCTGGTGTCACTGTTTTCTTTTGAAAGGAGTGCGTCTTTTTTTTTTTTTTTTTTTGAGTCAAAGTCTCACTCTGTCACCCAAGCTGGAGTGCAGTGGCACGCTCACGGCCACCACAGCCTTGAACTGCTGGGCTCAGGTGATCCTTCTGCCTCAGCCTTGCAAGTAGCTGGAACTACAGGCACGTGCCACCATGCCCAGCTAATTTTTATGATTTATTGTAGAGATAAGGTCTTGCCAAGTTGCCCAGGCTGGGCTTGAACCCCTGGACTCAGGCAGTCCTCTCTTCTTAGCATCCCAGAGGTTTACAGGCATGAGCCACTGCACCTGGCTGAGCACATCCTTTTTGAATTTCAGTGTACACTTGATATGGGCAAGAGGAAGAATGTTTACACATTTCCAATACCTCCCCCTTTTACTTCTTTCAGTAACTTCACACTTTTTATCTTGGCTAGCTGGTCTTTTCCTGCTGGTTGGGAAAGGATCACCCATGTCTGCCCCCACAGACAGCAGAGACAGGGACTCTCTCTTCATCAGAGAAACTCTGGTGCCCTGCACAGGGCCTGACACACACAGAACGCAGCGCCTAGATATACAGAAGGATGTCCCACTCTGCCCCTAGTAAGACTGAGAGCACCTGAGGGGCAGAACCGCCTCATTCACAGCTGTGATTCCTGACCCCCAGCACATCCCCTGAAAATGGTGACCTTCACTGGGGGCCATGGGTAAACATGTTAGAATTCCAGTTTTGGGTGAGATCTTGAGAGATCAATTTTCTTTCCCTAATTCACCACTCTTGGTTACATTTGAACTATTCGGACCAGGACAAAAAAAATGAGTAAAATTGAGAAACTAGTTCTACATAACTTTTTAGTCACTGATATTTCAATATTAGAAAGTCCTTCCATGTTTGCAACTTAAACCCTTTAATCTCCCTTTTACTGTTTCCTTATGCAGCATGTACTAGGCACAGCCTTTTTTTTTTGAGTTGGAGTCTCACTCTGTTGCCCAGACTGGAGTGCAGTGGCCGCTCCTGGCCACCGCAGCCTCTACCTGCTGGGCTCCGGCGATCCTTCCGCCTCAGCCTTCCAAGTAGCCGGAATTACAGGCATGCACTACCACGCCCGGCTGATTTTTTGATTTATTGTAGAGATGAGGTCTCGCCAAGTTGCCCAGGCGGGTCTTGAACCCACGGGCTCAGGCAATCCACTCACCTCAGCCTCCCAAAGGCGTGGGATTACAGGCTGAGCCACTGAGCCCGGCTGTAGGCACAGCCTATTACACTGAAATATGAAATAAAACTTTTTAGCATAAGCTGCCTGTGGGTTAGAACCACGAGTAAACAGTCTTCACCTTCCCCTCCACCATAGCCACCCTCCAAAAAAAACCTTCTGTTTGCATGAAATGAGAAAGCATATTGGTGTGGAAGCTTTTGGCGTTGGGATTTTTTTTTCTTTGAGCTGGAGAGAAAAGCCCTAAGACCGCAGCACTGATTGCGAGCTAATGCAGCCTTGTGTTGATTTCAGGCGGGAAATGATTCCCCTGCTGTCCCTGATCTTCTCTGCCCTCTTCATCCTCTTCGGCACTGTCATCATCCAGGCCTTCAGGTAAGCCCCGCGACTTCTCGGGGCAGCCATCAAGCACCAGGCCCCAACCTCCTTGGTTGTTTGTACACCTGTTTCGGGAAAACTCTTTTTCTTTTTTTAGTGACTCGAAGGATGAGCGAGAATCAAACCCTCCAGATAAAGAGGAAGTCCAGGAGAAGGCTGGGGAGACTGAGCCAAGCCTCACCAAAGAAAGCAGCAGGTCTCTCACAAAATGCCAGCCTCGCCTCCCCTCAGCCCCAGCCCCACACACCGTGGAGTCTGAGAAAGCCGCATGCATATGTAGGAACTCTGGTCCACCTCCTCACGTGTAAGATGTGGAGGCAGGGAAACGGCACGGCAGACTACAGTTCACTAAGGCCCGCCAGGCCTGCAGGTAGCTCAGGGTCAGTCGTGAAGGCAGGAAGCACAGAAGTACGTCAGGCAGGCGGCAGACAAGCCCAAAGGGTTTGTCCCCATAACTGTGACGAATGTGGTCAGTCATGAGCACACACCCAGCAGTGAGAGGCCAGTGTCTTTGACAAAGAAAGCAGACTGCCATCTTCATTCTGTCCTAAAGCAACTACTGCAGCATCTGACAAGCAGCATCAGAAAGGCTATGTGTAGGCCAGGGGTTATGACGTCAGCATCAGCCCCATCCTGCCAGTGTGCCAAACCCAAGAATATTAAATAGCATGTCTAGTCTGGTTAGAGCATAGCATTTTGTTCCACTTGTTCCTTTAAAGCAACAGCATTCCCCTATCCTGCTGTTTTCAGCCTTCTGGGCTCAAACGATCCTCCCGCCTTGGCCTCCCAGGGTGCTGGGATTATAGGCACGAGCCAGCGCGCCCGGCCAGCATTCCCCTATCCTGATAACATCTTGACTCCTCAATATTTCTCCACAGCAAGTTTCCTAAAAAAGGCTTTGTGGAGGTAACTGAGCTCACAGATATGACATACACCAGTAACTTGGTACGCCTGAGGCCAGGTCACATGAATGTGGTCCTCATCCTGTCCAATTCCACCAAGACCAGCCTGTTGCAGAAATTTGCTTTGGAGGTCTACACATTCACTGGGTAAGTGTGTGTGTGTGTGTGTGTGTGTGTGTGTGTGTGTGTGTGTGTGTGTGTGTGTGTACACATGCACATGTGCATTTGTGAGAGAGCATGAACCTGTGGGTAAAGTGAGGCTTGGGGAAAATTGCGCCCTTTTCTCTTGGGCTATGTGGCACTTTGTCCATGCAGTGAGATGCTGGCTGTGGTCCTCCCAGCCCGGACAGCTGAGCCATCATGAGAGCAACCTCTTTTCCCACTTGACTTCATGTTCTGTTGATTCTAAATAGAATGGCTGAGACTCAGTGTTATTTCCTGAGGTTTTTTAGAAAACTGGCTGTTCTCTCGCCTTTGTATTTTTCAGAAGCCAGACACTGAGAGTGATGTAAGTTATCCAGCAAGGGATGAGGGGTGGGGGACTAAAGCACTGCCATCTGTAGAGGCCCTCTGACCCCACAGAAGGCCTTTGTGTTGTCTCTGTTCAGGCCCATCTAGCTTTATTTGAAATCTCACTGGGGTATTTTTTCCCTCCAATTAAGTATATCAGAAAATACCCTGAATCTTCATCCTGTTCTCCCTACAGGAGCAGCTGCCTACACTTTTCCTTCCTGAGTATAGATAAACACAGAGGATGGCTAGAATGCTTACTAGAATTCGCTCAAGATGCAGCCCCAATCCCAAACCAGTATGACAAGCATTTCATGGAACGTGACTACACTGGTTACGTACTGGCTCTGAATGGCCACAAGAAATACTTCTGTCTCTTCAAGCCCCAAAAAACAGTGGAAGAGGAGGAAGCCATGGGGTCGTGCAATGACCTTGATGCTTCCCTGCACCGGGGTGAATCTCGAGGGAAACCTTCCAGTGGCCTTGGACCTAAGCCCATCAAAGAGAAACTGAGCAAGTTGTCCTTGTGGATGGAGCGTCTGCTAGAAGGTTCCTTGCAGAGGTTTTATATCCCATCATGGCCTGCACTAGACTGAGGGCATTTCAAAAAGAGATTTGGACTCTTCAGACTTTTTAACATGCCCCTGTGAACAGGTATTTTCAGGACTCAAACTATCATGATGAACGGAGTATAGATTTTAGATTGTTCTTCTAGCACAGTGGCTAGAAGAATCCTTTGTCCTGTTATAACCTAGGAGTGAAAAACACCACAAGTTTGAATTCCCTAGATCCAAATCTTTTCCTCTGGGTTTATTTGTCATCTAATGCCGCACTATTGAAAATAGGCTGCTCATTTCCTCTTCCTGTGTCGTCCCTGTCATGGATTTACCCACCCTCCCCTGTCCTGTCTCTTCTATTGGAGAGACACAAGGCTCCACGCCACGGGGGCACCGACAGACCCTCATGAGCCTGTTTGCAGGTCGGGTCGTTGGCCCCGCCCCCCACCTCTGGCCCAACCCCAGCCCTGCTGTGCTTCTGCCATGGCGCATGCTCTTAACGCAGGACAGCCCCCAGCAGCTTCTCTCCCTGCGTCTGGAAAGAGGCCTCATTCCAAGCAGCCTCACACGTACGGGTTGTTCTGGGAGTGAATGGCTAAAAATACCTGTTGGGGGTACCCCCCACAGCAGTTTGCTGGCCATATTTGGAAAGGACAGGAATGAGTGGGGGTTCTGCATGTGAGTTCCCAAAGAAAGGGCGGGGCAGGCTGGGCAGTGGCTGAAGGGACCCCCCCGAGCGTCCCATCCACCACCTCCCAATGCTGCCGGAGTCAGGAGGGGTCTGCACCACAGGAAGTACTGTGATGACCTGAGCCATTGACACGTGTGCGTTCAGATGCCTTTCTGCCTCTGTCAGTTTAGGTTATGGATATTAGGAGCCATCACTCATCATCTTACTTTCTCAACGTAGAGATCAACTGCTCTAAGCCCGTAGATGTTAAACCCCAGGGAAACAATTCCTACCTGCCCTGAACCAGGTTCAGGGAACCTCTTCCCCCCGGCAGTGTCCCTCGTAAAACGCCGGACATGGCTCTGTATCAAGAAACTTAGATTTTTCTCAACAGTTGATTTTGAACACTGTTACCCCAAAAGTGCTGTATATTCAAGTCGTCTTTTGTGACAGGTGTGCCGAGACTTGTCCTAGACGCCTGTTCTGAGAAGGCTTGCTTCCCTCTTCCAGCCTCTGTTTTGGTGTCTTGCCTTCATTGTTCTTGCTGTTAACTGACAGCTGCCCCACCAGTGTCAGGCCGAACTGGTCACTGAGCTCCAGTGTGTAACAGACCCCAGACTGGCTCATGCTGGCCAGGTAGAGAGCGAACCTTTCATTTTTAGGGAAAAACCACCAATGGAGTTAGGACAGCTTCAGAGAGGGGTCTGTTCAAATGTCAAAGCAAATTTCCCTTTTGTAAAGTGAATGGTGAAAATCAGTAGTGGGACATTTATCTAAGTTATTATTGCTTTACTCATAATTGCTTTAAACTAAGCCACTTGGATCCTGAATAATTCGGATATTGAGCTACACTGGTAAGTAATAAATTGTGGAAGCTCAGAAATTCCTGGAGTTTCACAGAGTCTATAGCTTTATCTCAAAAGTCAGAAATCACTGCCAGGCTTCATTTTTCCATGATCATCCTCTAAAAATGAATGCTTGCACTTTGGGAGGCGGAGGCAAGAGGCTCGCCTGAGCTCAGGAGTTCGAGACCAGCCTGAGCAACATGGCAAGACCTCGTCTCAACAATAAATAAATTTGAAAAATGAGCCAGGCGTGGTGACACACCCCTGTAGTTCCAGCTACTTGGAAGGCTGAGGCGGAAGGATCGCCGGAGCCCAGCAGGTCGAGGCTGTGGTGGCCGTGATCACTGCACTACAGCCTGGGCAAAAGAGTGAGATGCTGTCTCAAAAAAATAAAAACGGACTCTCTGAACACAGTGTCTCATGGTGCCTGGCCCCATTAGAAACGATCGAGGATTTCATTTGGCTCCTTGACACAGTGGTCCTCAAAATTATTTTCTGGGTCTTTTATGGCCATGTTGCTTATATGAGTCGTGTTTTGGTTTGGTGGTAAGTTTTTGTTTTTAATTTCTCATACGAAATTCCTGGCTTTGGTTTCCAAAAACTCTCCAGATTTGTTCAGTTAATTTTTTTTTTAATCAATAAAGGCCAGGTGCAACGGCTCACACCTGTAATCTCAGCACTTTAGGAGGCCAAGACTAGAAGATTACTTGAGACCAGAAGTTGGGGACAAGCCTGGGCAACATAGTGAGACCCTGTCTCTACAAAAAGTTTTAAAAATTAGTTGAGTATGGTAGCACGTGCCTTTAGTCCCAGCTACTCAGGAGACTGAGGCCAGAGGATCACTTGAGCCCAGGAGTTCAAGGCCATGGTTGCACCACTGCACTCTGGCCTGGGCAACAATGAGACCCTGTCTCTTAAAATATATCTATATCATTAAAATAAAAGCACCTTCAGCCACACCTTCTATTTGCACTAGGAAAGGAAAATGGTGATGAGATTGACAATATTCCTGGCAGATGTTTCAGTCCAGAAATTCTACATATCTGTTTGGGGGCTGGTAGATATGTATGTCCCCCATGAGGACACTAGGGAGATTTTATTTTAAATTGAACTTTACCCTTGACCATCCAAGCCTTTCCCCTGAATGTTTCCGTGAATTTTACTTTTGTGTCAAACATGTGAGCCATTGCCATGCTCTGCCAGTGCCACCATTTCTTTCTGATGTCCAATGTGTATAATCATATAAGACCTGATTTTGGTTTTAAGCTAATGCCCTAGTCTTTGAATATCAACATTGATGTTCTTAGAGGAGGGGTTTTCTGGTTATACAAACTATACATTGTATTTAGCAGATGGAGTAAAACTGGCCTAAAACAAGTCTGTAAAATACGTGTCCATAGCCGGGCTCGGTGGCTCAGCCTGTAATCCCAGCACTTTGGGAGGCTGAGGTGAGTGGATTGCCTGAGCCCATGGGTTCGAGACCCACCCAGGCAACTTGGCGAGACCTCATCTCTACAATAAATCAAAAGATTAGCCGGGCATGGTAGCGCGTGCCTGTAGTTCCAGCTATTTGGAAGGCTGACCAGAACGATCGCCCGATCCCAGCAGGTTGAGGCTGCGGTGGCCGGGAGCGGCCACTGCACTCCAGTCTGGGCAACAGAGTAAGTCTCAAAAAAAAAATGCGTGTCCACTTCAAAAAAAATTTTTTTTATTGCTCAGGAGTTGGTTGCCCAATTTTTGTCTAACACAGAGGTTGTCAGCTGCAACTAGGCAATGCTTCAGTGAGCAAGACTGCCCCAACTTCCATTAAGGGGCCTGCTCTGCCATCACTATTGACCTTGAGAATTTGGTTGTAGTTTTCAGATAGGTTGATTTCCTCCTCACTTGCAGCCTGTTCATACTTGTAACCTTTGGATTATTATCATCCTAATCAAGTTGCAACTGCCATCAGTACATAAATGTTTTTCTGATGTAAAAAGAAATCAGGAACCGGGCTCGGTGGCTCAGCTTGTAATCCCGCGCCTTTGGGAGGCTGAGGTGAATGGATGCCTGAGCCCGCGGGTTCGAGACCCGTCTGGGCAGGCGAGACCTCATCTCTACAATAAATCAAAAAATTAACCGGGCGTGGTAGTGTGCGCCTGTAATTCCGGCTACTCGGAAGGCTGAGGTGGAAGGATCGCCGGAGCCCAGCAGGTCGAGGCTGCAGTGGCCGGAAGCGGCGGCCACTGCACTCCAGTCTGGGCAACAGAGCGAGACTCCAACTCAAAAAAAGAAAAAGAAATTAGGATGGGCATGGTGACTCACGCCTGTAAATACCAACACTTCTGGAGGCCAAGGCAGGAGGATTGCTTGAGCCCAGGAGTTTGAGACCTGGACAACATAGAGAGACCTCGACTCTACAAAAAAAAATTTTAAAATTAGCCGGGTGTGGTGGTGCAAGCCTGTAGTCCCAGTAGTCAGGAGGCTGAGGTGGGAGGACTGCCTAAGCTCAGAAGGTCAAGGCTATGGTGAGCCATGATCTTGCCACTGCAGCCTGAGCAACAGAATGAGACCCCGACTCAAAAAATAAGACAAGAAATGGGATCTGATGTGATTTAAGTGATTTGCTTTGTTTGGAAATAGGGATTGGAAACACTCAACTTTTTTTTTTTTTTAATTGAATTCTTTGGGAGACCAAGGCAAGAGCCCAGGAGTTTGAGATCAGCCTGGGCAACCTAGTGAGACCTTGTCTCTACAGTAAATCAAAAAATTAGCCAGGTATGGAGGCACATACCCGCTACTGGAAGGCTGAAATAGAAGGATCACCTGAGCCCAGCAGTTCAAGACTGCAGTGGCCATGAGAGTGCCATAGCACTCCAGCCTGGGCGACAGAGTAAGACTGTGACTCAAAAAAAAAAAACAACTGAATTCTTTGAAAACAGATTCACAACATCTTTACAGATGAAATGCAGTTCACGTCCAAATGCCTGATATTGTCCCTTGAAAACAAACGCATTGTTTGCTTTGCTGCTGAATCTCTGCATTCAGTTTGCCGAGGAGGATGATTATACATGGGAGACATCAGAAAAGAAGGTGACTATTTTGCACTTTGATACACTTAGGAACAAATAACTTATTTTGCAAATTGTGTCTTTTTTACGTTTTGGGTAGTTTTTTTGAGTTTTTTGTTGTTGTTTTTTGAATTGTGAACAGGCACTGAAACTGATGTTATTTTGTTTTAAGAATATTACAGACTGGAAACCTAAATAAACTATTTTAATGTGTGATGACTATGGGATAGCCCTTGCATTGCAAGATGATGATGATTCGATCATGGACACATTACTGACAAAATTGAATTTGTGAGTACATGCTTACGGTCAGCACAGCTTAACTGCAGATTTCAGAAATGGCTGGCTAAGAGGGCACGTTGGCTTGAAGAGCAGACAGTGCAAAATGGAGTCTTGTGAGGAGTGGGTTACAAGTTTCATTAACTGCTTTCTGGTTTAAAAGTTATTTTGTGCACCCTCCTGGGCTTGTGAGCAGGAAGTTCCTCTATTAGATCTCCATGTTGTTTCTCTTTTTCTTTAAGTTCACAGTGGCCCTAAAGCCAGGAGGCAGCTCCCAAGTGCCTCCAAGGAGGAGCTGGATTTTAAAGGAAGATACCTTACACATATGGAATGTTTATGTAGTATTATTTCATAGTTTTTTATTTATTTTATTTTTATTTTTTGAGTCAGAGTCTCACTCTGTCACCCAGGCTGGAGTGCAGTGGCACAATCACAGCCATCACAGCCTCGACCCGCTGGGCTCAGGCAGTCCTTCTGCCTCAGCCTTCTAAGTAGCCGGAACTACAGGCGCACGCCACCACACTTGACTGGTTTTTTGATTTATTGTCGAGATGAAGTCTCGCCAAGTTGCCCAGGCTGGTCTCAAACCCCTGGACTCAGGCAGTCCTCTCGCCTCAGCCTCCCAAAGTGCTGGGATCCCAGGCGTGAGCCACCATGCCCGGTTCATAGGTTTTTTTAAATTACATTTTTCCAATGTTTAGAAATTCTCCGGTCCCTTCCTCTTTATCTCTCACCATCTTTCATCAAAGGGAAAAAAAATCAAACCACTACCTGTGCTTTTTTTAAGTTAATGCACACTCCTTAGAAATGTTAGCTATTTGGCTTAACATTCTACTGACTGTCCTGATTTCACAGCCACCAGTGACGCTTTTAGCAGAAAGTTTTATTGGCATAAACTCTTTTCTACTCAGACTGCTTACTCATAAATTCTTGAGAATTTGTCAGCAGCACAATCTGTTTTGTCTTGAAGAACAAAAGACTCAGACGGCTGTCACTCTGGGGAGAGCACACAGCATCTCAAACAGCAGGTTAGCCGCCAGGAGGGCCGTGTTTCCTACGAAGACAGAAAACCCATGAAACCTGCCATAAATCGCACAGACCGCGCCCCCACGGCCCAGCCTGGGGACTCAGCTTTCTGCCCTTTGTGCCTCCTACAGACGCTGGTGTGCATGGTCTCCTTCGACCCCTGACCTCCCTACCCCGTCCCCAGCATACTGGCCCTGGCATTCTGCCTTGGCCACCCGTCATTTGGAAATCAGATTTTAAAATTCAGAAGGGGGCCGGGCTCGGTGGCTCAGCCTGTAATCCCAGCACTTTGGGAGGCCAAGGTGAGTGGATTGCCTGAGCCCGCGGGTTCGAGACCTGCCTGGGCAACTTGGCGAGACCTCATCTCTACAATAAATCAAAAAATCAGCCGGGCGTGGTAGCACGCGCCTGTAGTTCCACCTACTCAGAAGGCTGAGGTGGAAGGATCACTGGAGCCCAGCAGGTCGAGGCTGCTGTGGCCGGGAGCGGCCACCTCACTCCAGTCTGGGCGACAGAGTGAGACTCCAACTCAAAAAAAAATAAAATTCAGAAGGTTCTTTTGTTTATTCTGAGAACAGATTTTTCCCAAAGGAAACCCTGTAATGGTGTTTACTGTATTTATTCCCCACCTTCCAAAGCTGCTAGGCCTAGCTTTGTAAGCTTTTCTAAATTAGAATTACCGGGATGGCATCGGCCTTGAAGCTCTTAACCAGCTAACTCCCAATTGGTAAATATTAATATATAGTATTTATGCTTTGAGAATTCACTTTTCAATGAAATCAAGGGGGTGCAGAACTGTTCCACCTGTCACTAAAGTGCAGGCTGGTTTCTTTTTGAGCAGGATTTATTGCGAGGACAAGCTGGTTTCTTTCTCTTCTGCGCACTGGTGGCCAGGTTAATAGTCCTCAACCACCTCCCAGGGGTTTTGTCAGGGCTAATTAACTCATGCGTGTAAGGTGTGTGGTAACAGGTGTGTTTTCTTCGCTGTTGGACATCCTCGGCACACTCCCTGAGTTGCATAAGGGCACCCACCCATTTCCACTTATCAACTAGATTAATACAGTTTATACCAGTGGCTGCCCACAGAACAATCTTGCTTACTCACCAGAAAGATCGTACAGCGGTGAGACTTCCACAAGATCACAGCCCACCACATTCAGGCCTTGACAACCCCGGATGATCTCCAGAGCCTGTCCAAGGTCAAGACTGGGTTGTCCACAGTGGGACTGACTGACATGAAGAGCAACTGGTAGAGCTTTTCCCGCACACGCCCACCCTCTGACTTGGGACTGTTGTTTTCCCTCCGTAAACATTTACTGATTGCCAGGCACACTGGCAAACCTCCCAGAGACACAATAATGTGCAGTTCCTGTCCCTGAAGGCTTCTTAGTGTAAGGAGACAAGTAAATCAGTTGTTCAATGTCATGCATTACAGCTGCAAGAAAAGCAAGCTCACTGGGCGCAATGGCTCATGTCTGTAATCCTGGCACTTTGGGAGGCTGAGGTGGGAGGATCATGAGACCCCGTTTCTACAAAAATAAGAAAGTGACAGGCTGGGCACAGTGGTTTACGCATGTAATCCTAGCACTTGAGGAAGCAGAGGTGAGAGGATTCCCTGAGCCCACAGGTTCAAGACCAGCCTGGGCAACTTGGCAAGACCTTTTCTCTACAGTATATTTTTAAAATTAGCCGGGTGTGGTGGCGCATGCCTGTGGTTCCAGCTACTCGGGAGGCTGAGGCGGGAGGATAGCCTGAGCCCAGCAGGTCGAGGCTGTGGTGGCCATGAGCATGCCACTGTACTCCAGCCTGGGCGACAGAGTGAGACTCCAACTCAAAAAAGTGAAGGCCGGATATAGTAGCTCACACTTGTAATCCCAGCACTTTGGGAGGTCAAGGCGAGAGGATTGCTTGAGCCCAGGAATTCAAGACTGGCCTAGGCAACATAGCAAGACCTCGTCTCTACAAAATATTAAGCATGGTGGCATGCACCAGTAGTCCCAGCTACTCAGGAAGCTGAAGTTGGAGGATCACCTGAACCCAGGAGGTCGAGGCTGCAGTGAGCCACGATTGTGCCACTGTACCCCTGCCTGAGTGACACAGAGCAAGACTCTGTCTCAAAAAAATATAGTGAGAGAGAGAGAGAGACAGACAAGTGAGCCCAGAATAGTACGAGGACAGGTGACAACCTGGAGAGGTAGGGTAAGTCTTCCCCAAGGTGAAAACACTTCGTTCAAGGGATAGGCCACGCAGATGGAAGAGCATTATTCCAGAGGAGAAGACACAGGCAAAGTCATCAAGATAGGAGTTCAAGCCGGGCTCGGTGGCTCAGCCTGTAATCCCGCGTCTTTGGGAGGCTGAGGTGAGTGGATTGCCTGAGCCCGTGGGTTCAAGACCCACCTGGGCAACTTGGCGAGACCTCATCTCTACAATAAATCAAAAATTAGCCGGGCGTGGTAGCGCACACCTGTAGTTCTAGCTCCTTGGAAGGCTGAGGTGGAAGGATCGCCGGAGCCCAGCAGGTCGAGGCTGCGGTGGCCGGGAGCGGCCACTGCGCTCCAGTCTGGGCGACAGAGTGAGACTCCAACTCAAAAGAAAAAAAATTTTGCCCTAAAAAGGTACATGTAGTGAACTTTAGACGGAGTATCCTAATGCCATCCCCATGGACCAAGTACAGATAGACCAGAGGCAGGAAGACCAGAAAAAGGACCCTTGTATCCCAGATAGGAAATAAAGACCCTTGCAAAAGTCAGTCACCTCAGTAAGTGGTGATTCACACCTGCCAGCAGCCCTGAGAACAGCAAAGGCGTAGGAGCCCCGCTCTAAAAATCCTATCCTGGACTGGGTGCGGTGGCTCATGCCTCAGCACTTTGGAAGGCAAGGCCGAGGCGAGAGGATTGCCTGAGCCCAGGGGTTTGAGACCAGCCTGGGTCACTTGGAGAGCCCTCATCTTTACAATAAATCAAAATATTAGCTGGGTGTGGTGGCACATGCCTGTAGTTCCAGCTATTTGGGAGACTGAGGTGGAAGGATCGCCTGAGCCCAGCAGGTTGAGGCTGCGGTAGCTGTGATCGCATCACTGCACTCCAGCCTGGGTCACAAAGTGAGACTCCAAGTTAAAAAATAAATTCCTATTCTGAGCCCTGCAGACTCACTACAGGCCCCAGGAAAGTGGGGTGTTAAATATCCCCACCCCCAGGAATCTTCACTGGCGGAGCCTCCTTACCTGACTAGGGGTGAGACCAGCAATTTCAGGTGTCCCCGTCCCAGGAGCATAGGCAGGATCCAAGGCGTCGATGTCGAAGCTGATGTAGATGGGCCGGCCTCCCATCTGCTGCCTCACTTCTGCCATTAGAGGAACCAGCGACTTCATCCAGCAGTCTTCCGCCAGGACCACCCGGAAGCCCTGAGGAGGCAGGAAGTGCAGAGCGGGAGGTTGAGGCCACTGAGGGGCAGTGTTTCTGGGGCATTTCCCAGGCGCCAGCCCCGAGCTCAGCTCTCTGTGTGCACCTTACACTTGACCCTCCATCTCCATGACGAGGAAACTGCTGTCCCCGTTTACAGGCCAGGAAGGGAGGGACGATGACTGGTAGGGAAGCAGGGTTGAAGCTGACACCAGGAGTTGAGGTAAGCGAGGTTTGGCTAAAGCAAGAGTGCCAAACCCCACAGCTGATGCTAGCACCTTCCGATGGCTCTGCCCTGAAGCCTGGCCTTGGCATGGAGGGATGGGGTCTTTTCTGTTGGAGTCTCATCTCGCGTGCTTACCTGAGAGCTGTTCTGCCTGGGAGGCACCAGGACGAGACCTAAGAAGGTGGCAGCTCACCTTGGACCCTCATCTCTTTTCCACGCCAGCATCATTAGAGGCGCGGGTGGGTCTCCGCTTGTCTCCCCATCCCAGCGACAGGTCTCCTGTGCCTCCTTAACGAAACTCCTCACTCTTCTTGCTCTTGACCATGACCCTCTTGATGCAAACTCGGCCTTTTGGCCCCACTCTCTGAACTCAATCCGCAGTGCCCCTGTGGGCTCCCTGCTTGCCACCGGGTAGGCTATAGAGAGGAGGGCACTTGGATGGCGAGGGGGAGGGGCACTCGGTCTGTCACCTGGCTCCGGTTGTATCTGTAGGGGTCCAAGGTCATGGAAGAGCCCCGGATGCCAATCTGCACCACCCGCTTGCAGTCCAGGAGTCCCTCCTCCACGCACCGGCGGAAGGGCGTCCCATGATAGAGCTTCTCCCCCAGGGCCTTGTCGGCCGTGTCCGTGTGAGCATCCACGTGCAGCAGCCCCACAGGGCCATGCCTGACAACAACAGTGCGGCTCAGAGGCCAGGCCTCCCTAGCACAGCCACCCTTCGGGACACCAAAACTTGATGACAATTCGTAGCCACAGAGGGGAGACCTGGCATCCATCACCTGCCTTGCCACTAATTTCTGTCTTGAAATCACTCAGAGGAACAGTAAGAGAAGATGGGCAGAAAATAGGCGTGGGCTCTGGTTGCCACCCACTACCTTCAGCCAGAATCTGCTTCACTTAGAAGCAGAGAGGTGAGAATGAAGGCTGGTAGCTCAGAGGTGAGCTCTGCTGAACCAATCAGAGCCCCCCTCTAGCCAACAGCACCAAGAGGAAGTTTCCATCCAGTTCTCTCCCCATAACCTCCATCAACCTGCCAGCCACCCAAGATGAACACACGATCCAAATCCGTGGGAGACAAACGAGGCTTTGAGAAAACACCTGCCTCCTCCCGCCTCCAACCAGAAGGCACCCACGCCCTTCCTGTATACACATTCTGGAACTGCTGCCCACCGCCTCGGCCCTTCTGTCTCTTTCTGAAACAAAATTAGCCCAAGTTGGCCAATCCCCAGAAGACTTCCACTACTGGAAAACCAGTCTTCTCATTGTCTGGGACCCTTTCCCAGAGGAGAAAAGGAGAAAACAGGGCCTCTCAGCAAGCTCCACCGTTGTGCCTGTCAGTATTTGTATTTGGCTGTTGAAGTAAAACAGAAACTGAAGTTAACTGGGGTTGTGTATTTCACCAGGGGCTCATCTTCCAGAAACAGAAGCGAGCTGAAAATGCTGAGCGTGCACATCCCAGGATGGATCTAGGGCAAAGGAGGTGGCCAGGAGTGTTCATAACAAATTGTCTTGGCTTCTAGCTGGTGACTGATAGAAGCACCTGGAGTTCGACTTTAATTTTGACCCTCAAAACAACTCAGTTGGGAATTTCCTATTCCCCGCCCCCCACTAGCCTGAGCCAGTAGGGCAGCAGTCACCTGATGCCACCTCACAGTAAACAACTCACTCCCTAGCTCCTGGATTTTAAAACCTTGCCTGGGCCAAGCCATTTGGGACTCACTTTTTTGCCACTGCTTGCAATATGGGATATGTGATTGTGTGATCTCCACCTGTAAAGAGGAAAAGGAAAATGCAACTGGAATGTGGATAGGATTACTATGTGGAACAATCTTAAATCTACCCAATTCTGCCTCCCCTGTAGACTGAGGAACTATAACCACAGCTACAATAAGATCTTGTGTAGTGGTGGGAGGCTTAAGATTTCACTATCAGCCGGGCTCAGTGGCTCAGCCTGTAATCCCGTGCCTTTGGGAGGCTGAGGTGTGTGGATTGCCTGAGCCCGCGGGTTCGAGACCCGCCTGGGCAACTTGGTGAGCCCTCATTTTTACAATAAATCAAAAATTAGCCAGGTGTGGTAGCATGCGCCTATAGTTCCAGCTACTCAGAAGGCTGAGGCGGAAGGATCGCCAGAGCCCGGCAGGTCAAGGCTGCAGTGGCCGGGAGCGTGCCACTGCACTCCAGTTTGGGTGACAGAGTGAGACTCCAGCAAAAAAAAAAAAAAAAAAAAAAAAAAAAGATTTCACTATCACTTAACAGAGAAAATAAGACGAATTAAGGTCTACAGGTAGAAACCTAGAAAAGTTCTGTTCAGTAGGATTTCATGTGATGATGGTGGCCACCAGCCACATGTGACACATGTGTGGCTAGTATGACTGACAAATGGAATATTTTACTTTAATAAATTTTAACTTAAATAGCCACATGTGGCTAGTCGCTAACATATTGGACAGCACAGACCTAGGAAAGTGTTCCTATTGATAATTACTAATAATGACAATAGCTAACATCTGGACAGATGGGGTGGCTCATGCCTGTAATCCCAGGACATTGTGGAATGCCAAGGAGGGAGGATTACTTGAGCCCGGGAGTTTGAGACCTGCCTGGGCAACATAGCAAGACCTTTTCAAAATAAGCTGGGCTTGGTGGAGCACACCTGTAGTCCCAGTTACTTGGGAACCTGGTGCAGGAGGATCATCTGAGCTCAGGAGGTCAAGACTGCAGTGAGCTGTGAGCGGGCCTCTGCACGCTAGCCTAGGCAACAGAGTGAGGCCCCAACTCAAAAAAAAGGAAGCTAACATTTATTACAAATTAAAATATAGCCGGGCATGGTGGCTCACCCCTGTAACCCCAGCACTTTGGGAGGCTGAGGTGAGAGGATTGCTTGAGCCCAGGGTTCAAAACCTGGCAACTTGGTGAGACTTCGTCTTTACAATAAATCAAAAAAATAATTAGCTAGGCGTGGTGGCACAGACCTACAGCTTCAGCTATTTGTAAGGCAGAGACGGAAGGATCACCTGAGCTCAGGTTGAGGCTGTGGTGACCATGAGCATGCCATTGTGCTGCACTCCAGCCTGGGTAACAGAGTGAGACTCCAAATAAAAAAAAAAAAGAAACTGAAATAGGCCAGACATGATGCTGGGCACTTCAGATGCACTTTCATTATGTGCTCTCCTACCATGCAATGCGGTAGGTGTTATTATCATTCCCATTTTACAGATGAAGACAGGAAGCATCACTCAGTCCACGCAGTAACATAGCTAGTGAGAGGTGGAGTTGAGAATTCAAATCATGCCATCCAGAAGCCACACCCCCACCCCTACACTATGCAGGATAGGCTCTCTCATGTGACAAAAATAAATCCGGGTATTTAGAAAAGGGTTCCTGTCATTTTAAGTATTTGTAAACAAGAAAAAAAGGAAATGCTACAGTGAGAATGGGTGAGATGGGGGCACGAGGGGAAAGTTGCCCTGGAGATAGACATGGACCCTGACCAGGACAAAGGCACCCCCTTTGTTTACTCCCAGTAAACAAAATATTAGAAACACTGTCTTTGAAATCATTGGAAAGTCCCTCCTGGCCAGCTTTCCCAGGCTGCGGACTAAGGCTAGGAGGAGGCTGAGATGGAGAGGCATTTGCCAGGCTGCAAAATGCAGAGCGTGCCCCAAACTCAGTCACCAAGGTCTATACTAGTTTAATGTAGTATTTTTGAAAAGCAAAATTTCAAAAAAGAAGACAGGATCAGTAACCATGCTGTTCCAAGCCATAGTGGAGCCTGAGGCAAAAGGGAAATATCAGTGATATTCATCCTTTGTCATTGATCTTGCTTGTAAATTGAGCACCAAAGCCAGACCCTCCCCTGCCCTTCCCTAGTCCAGCCCTGTCAGTCATGCTAGTCTCAAATTTGAAATATCCTCTCCTCAGGTATTAAAATCAAGGAATTAAACGGCTCTCCTGTCTGCATACTCGCAGTGGCTTGTTCTGGAGAAGTAGCTGGACTTAAACCCGTAGTAAATAAGCCCTGAGTGCAGAGAACACCGCGCCCCCTCAGGGACTGGTGTTACCCAAGGTCAGAGGAACACAGCCGGCGGCTACAATCTTCTGATAGGCTTCTCGAATTAGCCGACAGCTGTCCTGGAGATTGTAAAGATTGACATTCACATCGCCCAGGTCTGCGACCCTGAGGGACTGGAAGGGGAGGGCCCCCGTGCTAGGATTGACTGTTCGAAGCATGACCGACTCTTCCCGGATGCGGCGAGGTCCAAATCTGGAGAAAGAAGAACCATCCTGTCAGCCATGCGTAGAGGTATAAAGGCGGCACCAAGGCCAGGGCCTCCCAGACTCAGCACTGTTGACATTTGGGGCCAGATGTTTCCTTGTGGTCTTGGGTAGCAGAATGTTTAGCAGCACCTCTGGCCTGTACCTGCTGGATGCCAGTAGCATCCCCCACCCAAGCTGTGACAATGAAAAATAACTCCAGATATTGCCAAATGTCTCCTGGGCTCAAAATCACCCCCTGAGAACCACTGATCTTGGCTCTACACTGAAGAGATTAAACATGTAGAATCCCACTCATCACCAAAATACTAACCCGCATTAGACAACGACCTCCCCAAATCTCAGTTTTCTTTTTTTTGTTTTGTTTTGTTTTTTGTTTTTGAGTTGAAGTCTCACTCTGTCGCCCAGACTGGAGTGCAGTGGCCGCTCCCGGCCACCT